CTTTGAGCTTCTATATTCTAAGCCGACACTGCAGTGCTGTGCAGGAGTTGTTGGCAAAACCACACCATGTGCTGAACTCCACCTGTTCGGGTCAACATTAAAGATCCCGAGAAGAGAAGTGAGTGGTTTCCCCCACTTCAGTCATGGCTGTTTGTGGGACATTGCGATGCGCACACGAGCTGCCACTTTTGCCTGGAAGTAGTCACTACACTTGACAACGTTGACCTGTGAACCACTTTGAAGCATTTGGACTGTGTGAGCGCTGTAGTAACACGTAATAATGTGATAACATGTAAGGATATTATTTATTAATGTTATTAATAATAATAATAATCCTGGGACGTGGCTGGTCTCTGCGGACACACAGATGCCGGCACTCGGAGAGTTAAGGCCGGGATGGAGCTGCCCGTGTGCTGTGGGGCATTGTTCCTCTACATTCCTGACTGCCTTCTGATTGTTATGACTGAATTACACAGCATGTCTTTGCACTCTCAGAGAGAGAGAGAGAGAGGAGGTCAGAGAGTGAGAGCCAGAGAAAGAGCTCAGAGAGGGAGAGAGAGGGAAAGTCAGCTACAGAAAGATAGAGCGCACAGCGAGAGAGAGAGAGAGAGAAAGAGAGAGCACAGCAAGAGAGAGAGAGAGACTAAACCCATCGGGTTGCTCAACATGACCTGCTTTTCAGACAGTGACACCAACTCTCTGACACTTAACATTAATGAAAGGTCAGGTTAGCTGATATAATCACTGTCATCTCTCTTCACCGGTCATCAAAAAACTCAATTAGCCGCCTGCTCTAATCTCCCCCAAACAAACAAACAAACAAACAAACAAACAAACAAACAAACAAACAGGCCGCAGTATCTGACGGAAGCTTTTGCTGAAATACCGTCCAAGACGGGACGACAACAACAAAAACACATTTGTAAAATGTCTTTCACGTCGGGAGGACGTCCCAGGCTCGGGACAGACAGAGTTTCGGACCCGAGCTGAGGGAGATCGAAAGGACAGTCGAAGAGGAGGGTCTTGAAGGAGGCGAGGGAGGGGGCGAGGCGGAGGGTCTGCGGGATGGAGATCAAAGGGTGAGTGCAGAGTGGCAGAAGGCCTGCACACCAATAGTGGGGCGAGCGAGGCGGGGGACGTGAAGCAGGCAGGAACCCGCTGAGTGGAGGGAGCGAACAGAATGGTAGGGGGTTAGGAGGTCGCAGAGGTGGGGGGAGCAAGATCATGGAGGGCTTTGAAGATGAGGACCAGGATGGGTCACGAGAACACAACAGCAACGCATGTTATAGAACTCCCTTCACATTGGATCATGTCTCCCTGCGATGAGGGGTTCAGGTGAAAGAGGCCCCTTCGACCCTTTCCTGCACTCCTTGCTTGTCCGGGGAGGTGGGAGGAGGTGAGAGCGGGGGGCAAAGACCACTCGTTACGACTGCCCCCCACCTGAGATCGGGATTCGGGTCAGACCCAGCCTGGGATCTCTTTTCTCACACCTGCCAACAACCTGGTTGTGAATGGATTCTCCTGGTCTCTCTCTCTTTCTCTCTCTCTCTCTCTCTCTGTTACTTTACAGAATAACTCAAACACCACAGGATTTCAAAATAAACACAGTGAAGCTTAAAATCCTTCTGGAAAGTATCGGAGGCAACTGAATGGCAGACAACTAGGTGACAAGCCTTTCCTCCTCCTCCCCTTCAATTCGCTGCAGTTCAGGAGGAGCTGAAAGCATTTTCTTGTCTCCGCAAACAAACATGCGTAGAGTTCACTTAAAACTTTTTTTTGAGTGAGAGAACTGGATCGAATCAAGCACCAGTGGAACAACAACAACAACTTGTATTTGGTTGAAAATGTAGGCAAGTTTCCTCTGTTTGCCCCGCAGTTAGCAGGAACCCCTATCGTCACTCAATCCACGACTATTTGTGGGACGCTGTTGTGCGGAAATTAGCTCCTGCGTTTCGCCAACAAATATTCACAGTCGCACTCACTTTATAATAAAAGTTTTGACCATGTGAAAGACGCTGTGTAAACGCAAGGAATACCGGGTATCGTTTAGTGTGCGTTGGGGACAGGTAAAACCACACAGCTTGCCAGTGAGAGCGCTGCTGGCAAGCTGTCCCACTGCTTGTCCAGCTGGACCACCTGCCCTGCTAGAGCTTTTGAGTGCAGGAGGCTAATGACGTGTGGCCTCTCTCTATCTCTCTCGCTCTCCCTCCCTCCCCTGAGGGACACACCCTACTCATCTAAACCACAGAGAGAGGTTAGGTGCAGGTTGATGAGAGCCGAGGCTCGGGCAAAGCGGAGGTAGAGCAGGGGGAGGGCCCGGAGGAGGGGGGAGAGGATCTAAAATTAGGTATTTTTTGGCAGGTCAACAGTTGTCATCACTGTGCCCCACCCCACTGCGTTCTTTGCCAATGTCTGCACACAATAACAATAATAATGCTTGTATTTGATATTGCTCCTGATCACGTCTTCGAGACGTTTCAAAGCGCTTCACAGGATACACTATAAAGTGGAGTGACCTTATATTTTGTGGGCGAAACGTGGCAGCCGATTGCGCACAGCAGCGTCCCCACAAACAGTCGTGGATTGAATGACCAGATTATTATTATTTTTTTATTTACATTTTTTTTTTGAGGGATTATTAGCCCGGGAAAAGCGATCCGCCAATCGACTAACAACTTGGTTCCTAGTTACTGCTAGGGGAACAGAGGAGTGTGGAGTAAGGAAACTAAGGTTCCACCCTGCCCGGGAATCAAACCCAGGTTCTCTCGCTTGCAGGGCATGCGTTCTAACCATTACGTGACAGGACTCCATGGGGCCTAACCCCTGACCCTGTCCGCCCATCCCCTTTGTCTCCCCCCTGCCCGACGGACCTCCTATTTTAACCAGCTGATATAATCACTGTCATCTCTCTTCACTGGTCATCAAAAAACTCCCCCTGTTCTGGAAGGCTTTAAAGTGCTACTTACAATACTGCATTAAAAATTAATTACACATGCTATTTTATTGATAGTGCATATCTTAATGAGCACCAGCTGTGCGAGGCAACCAAACTCCATTTAAAGACAACGATAAAAAAATACTACAGGCTTCCAACTCGCTTCCTTTCATAGTTAAAATGGGAACATCTTGCCTGGATTTAAACCAGAGAGCTTTGATTTAACACTAAATATAGACCCTCAGAACAGGCTTGACTCTCCCCACACTAACACGGCAGCTCTGGGAGCTTAATGTGTGTGAATCTGCATTTAAAACAGTTCTGCTATGGTCTCGGGGGGGGTGGGGGGGGGGGGGGGGATGGGGGGGCGGGCCGTGGGGGAGAGAGAGAAAAAAATCTCTTAAAATAACAATAATATTCCTTGCATTTGACACAGCGCCTCATCACGTCTTCAAGACGTCTCAAAGCGTCTCACAAGATACACTGTAAAGTGAACTGATTGTGTATTTTGTGGGCAAAAAGTTTACTAATGGAAACAAAAAGCAAGTTCGCAAATAAAGTGCAATCGCCAAATAAATACTAGAAGCAAATGCAGAAAAGATCAAGTTACTGTCATTCTTTCTCCCCTCCCCCCGGTTTGATTCCACACAGACCGGTCGTGTGTCGATTAAACAGGAGAAGCAGAAACTAAACATAGTTAGAGACATCAGCGACCTAATAAACCTAATAAACCCTGCCCATGTCTCCCTCTCACACCCCCGCCTTTACATTCTCCGCTAAATACTCAAGAGTTAGTTAACCTGCCCCCCACCCCCCCACCTCCGGCACACACACACACACCCCCAGCCCGGAAGAGGTTTGAGAAGCAGAAGCAGAAGAGATAAACAGCCAACCCTGTTCTGTTGCAAAAAAAACCGCTGGCGTCATCAAAGTGTGGATTATTCTCAGCACCTGAGCAAGTGCAAACCCGCCTCGCACGGCCGTCCTGTCGAGCATAGCTGCTGCACATCACAGGCTTCAAACCAGCCAAGAGCCCACAGAAGCCCCTGGCCACCAGACTAGCAACGTGGGGACAGGGGCGTGAGGGCACGCCTGAGAGGGGGAGAGCAATGCCAAGGTCAATCCGGGAGAAACTCCCTCCTGTAAATTTTTGTTCTTTCCCCCTCCCCTCGCACCCCCCCACCCCCACCCCCTCCCCCCACAAAACCCCCAAAAGACATTGCCAAGCAAAACTTCAAACCGAAAATTTAGAAAAGAAAACATTTTTTTTTACCATCCACAGTCTGTCGTCAAGTTTACTTCAAAAACAATAATAATGATGGTCCTTACGTTTGATACTGCGCCTTTCACGTCGGGAGGACGTCACAAAGTGCTTCAACAACAACAACCTGCATTTATATAGCTTCACAAGAGTTTACTGTAGTGTAGTGACTGTGTGTTTTGTGGACAAACGCAGCAACCCCTTTTCGCTTGCAGCAACATACCCACAAACAGACATGGAGTGAGCGTCTGATTTTATTTGGGGGGATTGTTGGGGAACACATATATATATAATATATATAAACATTTGGTCGTTCAATCCACGACTGTTTGTGGGACGCTGCTATGCGCAATTGGCTGCCACGTTTCACCCGCAAAATATACAGTCAATTCACTTTACAGTGTATCCTGTGTAGCATTTTGAGACGTCTCACAGATGTGATGAGGCGCTATATCAAATGCAAGGATTATTATTATTATAACTGATGTGAAGGTATGAAGATGTGAAACGCACGGTGTGTCACTCTCGCTCTCCAAAAGCCCCTTCTCCTCGCTCCTTCTCTCTCGCTTTCAAAACCTCGACTCCAAAATAAACTCTCTCTGAAACATGCCGTCAGACCTGTTTCTCCCCCTCTGTGTCTCTCTCTCTCGCTCTCTCACCGCCCACCCGCCCGCCCGCCCATGGCCACTCTGTCTCTGTGAGCCAGACCGAGCTGTTTGTTGGCCTATGTGAAAGGTTGCCGCGGAGTTCAGTGTTGGAACAATAAATCGGCAGCAAAGCCGGCAGTAAACAGCGGCAACTTACATTTCCACGGCTCCCTTTCACCTGGCACACACATCTCGAAACGTTTCACTGATAATCTGCCCCAGCAACGCCCTACAGAGAGGAGTAATAATCACATTACAGTAAATATCTGATAACTCGTCACTCCAGGGGGCAAAGGGCTCAGTGATGGGTTATCGGGAGCAGCGAGTTAGACATACGTATAAATACATCAATCAATGTGGCCGAGATATTGACAAGAACGATGACTTATGTGGTAGTGACAAGTTAGGCCAGGGTCAAGTTGTGAAGAGTTTACTCTCTCTCTATCACACAAATAATAAAGATAAATCAACATTAATATTATCCTCTCCCTCTCCCCACCCCCCTGTGAAATTAATTAACTAACAAATAACGCTGGAACTCCCAATCAATATTGACGCTTCGATTCCCCCCCACCCCCCCGCACCCCGACCACGGGCCGCCCACTCTACAAATTCCCCCCCACCACCACCAATGCACCCCTTCCCTTCCCAAACAACAGTCCTCCTCCTGTTCCTCTGCCATCCTACAAACCACACACGTGTGTTTAAGCCCAGCAGGGAGTGAGGGAGGGGGGGAGGGAGGGGGGGAGGGGGTGTGAATGTGAGCTATATTTAGCGTGTGATGGAAATGATTGTTTCTCCGGCTTTCTTTCTGTTTTTTAATTCCATTACAGTCGGGAGGTTCTGTCAGCGCAATTCACCCCACACACAGGGAGGGGGTGGGGGGAGTCCATACAAAACATCTCAGCTCACAATAACTTCCCCCCCCCCCACTGATCCTCTCCTCTCTCCCACCCCAGATCCTTTTATTTCCATGGGATTTTAAACGTCTCTCTGCCTTATGCCTTGTGTTGCTGCACACGCACATCCCCCTTAATGATAAACAGCGTTAAATCGGAGGAACACGAAAATATACCCGGGGAATATTCAGGAACGCCTCAGCCCAATTTTGCACAAATACAGTAAAAAATCTTGTGAAACCCTTTGAGATGTTTCGACGTGGGTAAGGCGCTGTGTAAAATGCAAGGATTATAATTTATTATTATTATAACATGACCAGACTCTCTCACACACACACACACACACAAATACACGGGGAGAGCGAGCGAGTACGGTCTCGACAGAAACAATCTGCTGTGAAGGAGCCACTTCGAGGAGGTAGTGAAGCACGTGTGTCAAAATGCGAGGATTATTGTAATAATCTCTCTCGGAGCTCAAACAACTGTGGAAAGATCTTGCTCTCTCTCTTTCTCTCTCTCTCTCTCTCATTAACAACAGCAAAATACAAAGTGGAGTTTGGAGATTCTCGCCCTGTCTTACAGTGTAGGAAAACACAACACAGTACAGGCAGCTCATTCCAATCCCCAACTCAGAGATCTCCACTGAGAGACTGAGGCCAAGGACCGAGAATGAATTGTCAGCTTTTCTTTTAAGATTCTCTCTCTCTCTCCACCCCACCCCGGGAGCAGGGAGCTGGTGAACACGAGTGACAAATCCAAGGACTTTTATCATTCTTTTAGCAAATCTCCTTCCTCGTCGGGAGGGTGGACGCCTCAAACTGCTGCATAGCGTTTTATCATTAAGTGTGGTGATAAAAGCACAGTCACTTCACGTTACACCGTAGCCTGTGAAGCACTTTGAGACGTCTCAACGACGTGATGAGGCACTGGGTCAAACACAACGATTATTATTAATTTTTGTCAGCACAATTAAACTGGATTCGGGGTAATGGATCTAAACAACTAGCACACAACCGAAAACCACCCGCCCCAAACCCCCACATACACACACATTCCCTTTACCTCCTCGCTCGCGCTCTCCCCTCCCCTCCCTCCTAATAGAAAGAAAATTCAACAAAAATATAAAAGCTCATTTTTTTGTGAGGGGGGGAGGGAGGGAGGAATTCTAAATCACACACAGCTGAAAGCAGAGCAAATGAGAGCCGATTATTCTGTTCTATCCCATGAGCAGCAGTGAAGCCTAACGCACACTGGAGACAGGAGGCTGTGAGCCAGTGTATAAACTGCTCTGCACAGTCCATGTCACGAGCAATTGTCCCAGGCTTGTTAATTAAACAAAAGAGAGAGGGAGCGCGCGCGAGAGAGAGAGAGAGAGAGAGAGAGAAGGGGGGAATTCATTAAAAATCTGAATGAAATCTCCAGGTCGTCCAAAAATCTCTCTATATTTTTATTGTTAATATTTAGCAATAATAGTTTTGTTTAAGCTTCTCAGAGTCGACTGGCAGAAAGGTGTAGGAAATAGGAATTGATACTCAAAGTTCTACAACAGTAGAGTGGGATCATCTCTCTCTCTCTCTCTCTCTCGCTCCTTCCCCCCTCCCCTCCCCTCCACACGCGCACACCAAGACATTAATTCTCAAAAGTCATGAAAATTACCATGCATGAATGCAAAAAGCATGATCAAAAGTAATTAACAGAGCTTCATATGCAAATTTTATTAATGCAGAAGTACAAAGTCATTATGCAAATTAAACTTGCGTCAACTCTCTTGACAAATATTCAGGACCAAAATCAATTTCTGGGAGTTTTTTTTGTCGTGAGGGGAGGGGAGGAGGGGGGAGGGGGTGGCGGGCCGGGATGGAATTTCGGAGGGAGAGAGGGAAGGAGGAAAGAGAGAGAGCGAGGAGAAAGGGGGGCACGAGAAAGAGAGAGAGAGAGCGCGGGCGCAAGTGGGGAAAAGGAGAAAAAGAAAACAAGGTAATAAACGGAAAGGTTTTGTGTAAGTTTGCGAGCTGTGTTCTCGCGCTGCTAAGTTTCTGGGGGAGGTGGGGGGTTTCGGGGCGGGGGGCGAGGATGGTGGGGGGGGGGGTGGGTGGGGGGGAGATGGAAATGGTAGCGTTTCTCATCAAGAATCGATCAAGACCAGGGAGGCAGCCAATCACACTGCCAGCGGGGCATAGTGAAGGGGATTGATGAGTGTTTGGGTTTTACTGCAGGGTGTGTGTGTGTGTAATGAACTAGAATCCAGTCGCAATATGAATATTCATGAGAGCTGCTCCTGCCTCTGATGATTAAAAGAAATTTTTTAATATTCAAATGAGCCCTCGCCGAATTATTAACAAAGCCCGAGCCAGCAAGAGACACAAGAATATCGGGAAATTGAAACTACGGATTGAGGAGGGATACGTGTACAGGGGGGTTGCACTGTGCAAGCTGAACTTGATATTTTTTATTGGGGTTGGGTGGGGGAGAGAGGGATAATGAGAGATAGAGAGAGACAGAGAAGACAGAGATAGAGAGAGAGAACAGGAAGAAACAGAAAAAATGGAGTGTGACAGAGAGATACAGAGATAATAATAATAATCCTTGTGTTTGATACGGCGCCTTATCACGTCTTCGAGACATCTCAAAGCGATTCACAGGATACACCATAAAGTGAATTGACTGTATATTTTGTGGGCGAAAAAATAGAGATAAAAGAAATGAGAAAGAGAGAGAGAGAGCGAGAGAGAGAGAGAGAGAGGCAGTAAACCGAGAGAAAAGAATGGGAGGGTTTTTCTTGTTTAATATGTCTTTTTGTATTTTTTAAAAAAGCAGGGAGAGAGAGAGAGAGAGAGAGAGAGAAATACAAACAGGCAAAATGATTCTAATATAAAAAATTGTAACTTGTATTACAAATGTTTAAAAATAGCTAAAGAGGAACGTTTGCCGACATTCAGCGCCTTTTTTGTTTCGTTTCCGGTTGTTAGAATTTGCCTCTTTTCTTATTTTTTCTCTCTTGTTTTTCATTCTGCAGAAAAAAAAGCCCCGAAACGGCCACTCGCGATCACCATTCATTTCGTTTATTTTGTGATTTCGTTTTTGTTTTGGGGGGAGTTCAGTTTCATTATTTGCACAGGAAGAAGTTTTTTTTTAAATTAATAAAAATTAGGATATTTTGCAACAGCAAAAAAAAACATTTTTTTAAAATCAGGAAATAACGAAATGGATGTCATGTTTTTTTACACACACACACGGAGATCAGCTGGTGCTAATAATAATCCTTGCAATTGATATGGCGCCTTATCACGTCTTCAAGACGTCTCAAAGCGTTTCATGGGATATACAGTGTAGTGACTGTATTTTTCTGAGTGAAACGCGACAGCCAATTGTGCACAACAGTGTCCCACAAACAGTCGTGGATTAAGTGACCAAATTATTCAATAGGAGCCGATACAAAAATAGTGCACAGAGTCTCTGCGTATTCGAAGCAGAGCAGTGCAGAGGGAGGGGAGAGTGTGTGTGTGTGTGTGTGGAGTGAGATCGACTCTTAATTCTTTGAGGTTCAGGCTTCTTAAAGCCCATTACTACTTCTGCTGGGAGGGAGGGAGGGAGGGAGGGAGGTGGAAGTCTCAGCTACGTTTACATCTGAAGCTGATTGTAGTTCGGGGGTGAAAAGAGGGAGGAAGTTAGAATAAAAGAGAGATCAAAGTGTGGGGATGACTTGGCCAAGTGCTAAGATTTTTCAAATTGCTTTAGGGTGAAAGAGAAGCACTTTGTGCTCTCCCCTTTCTCAAAACATCTTATGAAACACCAACCCAAATACCAACCCTAACCCCAACCCTAACCCCAACCCCAACCCACACTTCATCTCAACAGACTCAGGGTGTCAAACCTACCTGAGTTATAGTCAAGACTGATGCCATCTTATAACACACAACAACCCTGTAACTCGACACACAACAACCCTGTAACTCAGCATAATACCATCTAATAAAATGTCATACACACACTGTATAAGGGGATTGGTTCCGAGAGATCCAAAGCCTACAGTTTGCCCTTTGGATCAGGCACAATAGGAGCCAGGGTCCCAAACCCACACGGCAACAACACAAGGCACCACAGCCCGGCCCACCCACCAGCAACAAATTAGCCCCTTTATTGTTCCACGGAAAAGCTTGAAGTAATTGGCTGCGCGTTTCACCCACAATATACAGTCACTCCACTTTACGCTATAATCTGTGAAGCGCTTTGAGACGTCTCAATGACACGGTAAGGCACTATATTAAATGCAAGCATTATTATTATCATATAACAATATTACTATTAATAATAATCCTTGCATTTGACA